TTCTCTTTTATTGCTGAATAAAATTCCATTGTGTATATATGCCACATTTTTTTTATCCATTCATCTACTGAAGGGCATCTAGGTTGGTTCCACAGTTTAGCTATTGTGAATTGTGCTGCTATAAACATTAATATGGCTGGGAAACAGCCATTTATGAAATGGGAAGAGGATCCACACCAAATACAAAATCTACCAACACCTTTGGAGTTTGCAGTCTTTAGAATTTCTGAGAAAGAAATTCCTGTGGTTAGTATTGCTACCTAGTCTATGGTGGTTTGTTACAGCAGCCCAAACAGATGAAGTTGAAAGCGAATCCCAAGAGAGAAATTTCCTAAAATGTATTTCATAAAAGGCTTTCTTGAGAAACAAAGATTCTGCACTCATATAAATTTGGAAAATTTGAATGCTGTAACCCCTCCTTTTTCATGTCACAATATGTATGAGCATATTTAAATATCTGAGAATTTCTGCAGTTAAAACAACATAAACTTATTTAACCTTCTGTTTCTCTAATTTACTTATCACAAAACACTTGTAATGAATACTGCCTATTAATATTCCACTAAGCACTTTGGGAAAGGCATTACTACTAAACTAGGAATCCAAACAAGGATATCTGTAATCATCACATTTAATAGTACAGTGTTCTAGATCTATGGCTCATACAGCTAAATAAAATAGAAATAATCCGGTCATACAATGTGAGTACTCTTGTTAAACTTGCACATAAAAGTTACAAAATGATAATAGTTGTTATCTCTGTGTGATCAAATAAGAGCTGGCTTTATTTTCTTCTTTACATTTTCCACATTCTCTATAATAAGCACATATTGACTTACAACAAAAAATGTAATTTTATTAAAACAGCAGTATTATGATTTAGATATGAGGAGCCCCCCAAAAGCTCTGTGTTAATGCAGAAAATTCAGAAGTGAGATGATTAGATTGTGAGAGCTATAATCTAATCAGTTCATCCTAGTTTGAAAGGATTGACTGAGTGGTAACTATAGGAAGGTGGGACATGGCTGGAGGAGGTAGGTATGTCCAGGAAGGGTACATCTTCTCCTTGGCCTCTTCCCTTTCTCCCACTCTGTTTTCCAGCTGTCATGAACTCAACAGCTTTCCTCTACCAGGCCCTTCCACCATAACGTTCTGCCTTACCATGGACCTAAAGCAATAGAGTCAACCCACCATAAACTAAACCTTCAAAATCCTGAGCCAAAATAAACTTTTCCTCCTCTAAATTGTTCTAATCAGAAGGATGGCGAGTTCAAAGCCAGCCTCAGCAAAAGTGAGGCACTAAGCAACTCAGTGAGACCCTGTCTCTAAATAAAATATAAAATAGGTCTGTAGGTCTGGGGATGTGGCTCAGTGGTCAAGCACCCCTGAGTTCAATCCTCAGTGTGTGTGTGTGTGTGTGTGTGTGTGTGTGTGTGTATATATAGAGAGAGAAAGAAAGAGACAGAGAGAGAGATACAGCCTATTAAGTACTGATTGCTAAGGTTTGAATATGGTTTGTCCCCCAAAGGTGTGCTGGAGGCTTGTTACACAGGTGAGGATGTTGAGGTGCTAGAATCTTTAAGAGGTGGAGCCTAGTAGACAGTAATTAGGTCATAGAGCTCCACCCTTATAAATGAATTAAGGTTGTCTTGCAGAAGTACATAAGGTCTGGCAGGAGTGGACTGGTTTTGGAGAGTAGGTTGTTACACAAAAAAAATGAGCCTGGCCCCTCATTCCTCTTAAACTTCCTTGTTCCCACACATGTCCCTGCCATACTCAGCTGGCATCGTTTTCAATTCTCTACCATGTTGTGGTGCAGCCAAGGGACTCTTTTAGAATCTGAATTGCTGATTGGAGCCACCAGAATGATAAACCAAATAAACCTCTCTATAAGAAACCCACCCTCAGATATTTTGTTGAAGCAACATAAAACAGAGAGATTGACATTTAAAAAAAAAAAATGTTAACCATATCTGAGGCTCTCAACTGAAACCTGTTCAATTAGTCTTTTATTCTAAGTTCATTTGTATGCAAAGGTGAGAACAAAGAATGATCAGCAAAGAGAAGTTAAACACAAATAATAAAAGACACAATCTGACAGAAATAATTAAGAATGGATCCAAGAAGAGAAACAAAGCAAAATGTGCTGGAAAAGAGCCAGTATCTGAGCAAAACCAAGTCTAGATTAGCCAAATGGTTTGGAATTTTTTAAGAATGGATGGAGCTGGAGAATATTATGTAATGAAATAAGCCATACCCAAAAAAATTCTTAAATGTTTTCTCTAATAAGCAGATGCTAATCCATAATTGGGTGGAGGGATGGGGAAGAATGAAGGAACTTTGGACTGTGCAGAGGAGAGCGAGGGGAGGTGTGGGGCTGTGGGATGGGAAGGACGGTGAAATGACATGGACATTATGACCCTGTATGCATGTATGATTACACTACCAGTGTGACTCTGCACCATGTTCAGCCAGAGGAAGGAGAAGTTGTGCTCCATTTGTGTACAATGTGCCAAAATGCATTCTTCTGTCATGTATAACTAATTAGAACAAATTAAAAAATAAAAAGGGAATTAAAAAAACATAAAATATATCTGAAAAGACAAAAACCAAAATGTCAAATTTGATGCCTAGTAGAGTTCCATCCTGTTGTTTTTACATTGTTTCCTTTTCTATTGCCAAACTGGTCTTTTTGGTACCCAGCTATAGAAATATGCCATTGATTCCTGTTCTCTAAATCAGAGCAGTAATAGGAGACAAGGATGGTCAATTGGTAAGTCATTTTCAAATTAATCAACCATTGATCTACCTGGTTATAATTAAGTGACAAACCAGAATAAAAGATCAAGTAGAGGAGGAGAGAAAGTTTGAATTACAGAAGTGTTAACATTGTGAATTAAAACGAACTTAATGGTGAAAAAAATTCTTAAAATAGCTAGAAAAAAAATTAAGGAAATGTAAGAACTGATAAAACTGTAAGTTAAAATGAGCATTTTTGTATCTCTGTTCTAAGATGCAAAAAATCTAGAACAAAATAATGTCTGACAAGTACCCCCACATTCCAAATCTGGAACTAGAGAAACTAAATGGAAATTACAAGAGAGCTGAAAGAAGATTCTGTGAATCGCATCACTTCATCCTCCTCAAATATATGAAAAGTGTTCAAGTTAAGCCAAGAATAAAAGATAATTTCTTTAGATTAAAAAAAGAAGAAGAAGTGTTTTCCCTGTACTGTCCCTCATTCCCGTGGGAAAGTATAAGAGAACCATTGAGCACCTGTTGAAGAACTTGATATTTGCCTTCTAAAGTAAAAGGACACAAACAAAGCTTTAGTATTTGACACACCTCCGAGAAATATTAGGACAAGGGTCACTGCAATAATATAGGCATGAAAGCTACAGGAATTTACTAGTCCTATTTTACAAAGAAAGAAAATTTCCTATAAGACTGGAGGCACAACTCAATGATAGAGTGCATGGTTGGCATGTGAGAGGCCTCAGTTCCATTACTGGCAGAGATAGAGGTGGAGTTAGAGATAAAACAATAACTTTTTTTCTAGTAATTTCAGTCTACTGCTCTATCTGAAAATTTATCCATCAATTGACCTTGACATAGTCTATCTTCCTGTTCACCTCCTTCCAGCTCACTTTACTCAGGTTTAATTCAATGCCCTCCCTCTTCCACACCAAGGTTTGCCCCAAATTCATGTGAACAGGAAATGCTCTCTTCTTTCATTTTCTATGCCAATTTCCTGCTGTCATTTGGCCTGTCCATTCAACAACCATTAAACTTGTTTTCTATTTAGAAGTCAAAATATTTTGAATCGATGATAATTTAAAAGGTGAAGGTTGTCACCTAAATACATCAGATGGTTCTCCCAAGGCTTCTAACTGAAGAACATAGATTCTTTGCCCCACACAAAATATGAAATGCCTCTAATTACACATTAACATCAATATCTACCTCTTGATTTGATCATGGTTCAAATAAAACCAAGTCACATATTAAAAATAAATTTAAAATAATTTATCCTATTCTCTTTCTTCATTCTAATTTCTCAAATGAACTCTCTGTACAGTGAATTTTAAACACCCAGAAGAATAATTACAGTGCCCAAAATTCAAAGATAAATAACTGCATCTTGTAAAACATACTCTTTTATCCCTGTGGCTTTGTTTTGTCCAGTGTGCTTCAAGAAGGAAGCAGAAAGAAATTGGTTTCTGACCAAATTTTAGTTAAACCAATATATATGGAGGGACTAAATTAAGGAATCAATGAAAACTGCAACTCCATTAAAACAATAAATATAAACTGGGATATATATGACAAAAACACAGATTGACATGGCATGCAAGATATTTTTTTTCTTTCTTAACCATGAAGATCTCATGATTGATATTCAGTTGCCAAACCAATAATATTATTGTAGAATAAAACTGCCAGAAATCTTTGATAATTGAATTTTGGCATCACACAGATTCTAATGTTGGACAATTGAAGCTTCAAAAACTTCTGTTTTTCTATAAAACTATGAACTATGCAGTTCTCCAGTACAACTTCAAAAGCCATGAATTTGTTACATCAACATTCCAGAAACATAAACACCATGCTTCACAGGAAATAAGCATATGCCAGAATGTGTAAACATTTAATACACAAGTAACAGAACTGCCTACAGCTAGTCGTCGTCTTGTCAAGGGTTCAAAATCATTTAAAAGCATTCTATGTGCTGGAAGGCGAAAGGATTTTTTAAGTTATTTTAACCTCTATCACAATTATAATTAAGGTTATAGTTTCATATGATAAGGAAGGTTGTAGGTTCATCCAAAAACAAAAATTATTATTTAAAAACATCTTCATCTCTAAAGGAGATACAGCAATTCATACTATTAAATGAGAGAACAAAGGAGGAACCGAAACCACATGACTGGGCAAAACAATGTAGTGTGGACAGAATGGGGTGTGATGTCACAGAGGCTGGAGTATCCCTGAGAAATAATTAGAAAGGATGCCATTTTCTCGGTGCCACCAAAAACTGGATTCAAGTGAATAATGATTCCAAGTCGGATAGAGAACAATCAGCTAAGTCTTTGTCAGAGAAGAACAGAGGTGAGAACAGAAAAGGAGGGTGTAATAAAGCCCAATTACTGCTTTTTATAAGTAAATATTCAGAGACTGCTATAACCAAAATTGTCAAGTAAATTTTAAAAAGCAAGGGGTGCCGTGTTATGGCTCAGTGATAGAACGCTCACCTAGCATGTGTGAAGTACTGGGTTCAATCCCGGCATCACGTAAAAATACAAAGAACAAATAAAATAAATAAAATTTAATAAAGTATAAAAAAAAGAAGAAGAAGCAAGGACTCCGAACCTCCTATCAGAGGTGTTTCTCTTCTTTTAGGATCCCTCTCCCCTTTCAAATGTTTCAATACTTTTGAATGTGATCACCCATCTTCCTTGGTTAAGGAAAAAAAATCTGGTAAACTTATTAGTAGTGTAATTTCAGCAATATTAATAACATTATAACTTCTCTTAGTGTTTGAAATTGCTTTGACTTAACTTGTTGAGTTCTAACTCCCCTCTCAGGAAGGGTATTAGAAGCTCTCTATACAGGTAGGAGACATAGTAAAGAGTGGATAAGTAATTTTCTAACTATTAGAGATAGAAATGGAGCCCCCATACTCTGATTTTAAAGCAACACAGTATTGTTGTTTTATAACAACAGTTTTATAACAACAGTTTTATGGTTACACTGTGAGTTCTGGAATTGTACTCTCCAAATGTGAGTCCTGACACCACTCAATTAGCCATGTGATTTTGTATAAATCATTCCATATCTCTTAGCTTCTATTTCTTCATCTATAAAAATGAGAATACTTCAAGATTCTACCTGATGAAATTGCTGTGATTATTAACTAATGCCTATAAAGTGCTAGCTAGATACAATGCCTAGAATATATTTAGTGTTCTTTAAATGTTAGGTATTATAGCCATTATTATTTCACCTATACCTTGCTATGCCAGTCTTATTAGGCAAGGAATCAAATGCTCAGAAATTCATTAGAAGGACTGGAGAGTTAATAGCTTGATCCAGGATCAGGAAGCTGTTATACTCTGACACTGCCTCAGGACATTTACAAAGCAGCCGACTAGTTCCTAGAACCTTGAGTCCAGCCATGATGCCTCTGTCACTACCTCCAGATACTTAGGAGTAAATACATGAAATCTACAACTCTGCCTCTGGCTACCACAGCTGCCAATGTTTCCAAAACCACACCTGCCTGCACAAACAGCATCAGGTCTGCCTCATGTCCACAGTCCAAGTTAGTGGAATCTTGCTTAAATCTAGAGTCCAAGAAGCTAGCAGGTCTGGGAAATGTGATTTAAGCTTTTCATCCCCTGGTGGATAGACCAGAGTTAGGAGTGATATCCAGCATAGTCCCTCTGTTTGGCTTTCCAATGCCCATACACATATACCATTTAAAATGACATTAAAATCCCCAATAATAATAGCAAAAACATTATCTGTCTATACAGTAAATTACAAACATTCTGTACAGAAATTTTTTTAAAAAGCTTACTCTTTCCCCAATATAAGAACTCAAAGATTTTAATCATTGGATTTATGTCTATCTCTAGGTGCTATTGGTGATATTTCTTCCTATTGTAGGTCAGTTACAGGCCTGCTTTGATATCCTGTCAGCTAAGGACTAAACTATAAATGTAAATTGCCCCAAACATGTTGTGTCTAAACAAATGGATGGGAAAAGAAGGATATTCATTAATACACACACACACACACACACACAGAGAGAGAGAGAGAGAGAGAGAGAGAGAGAGAGAGAGAGAGACTACAGTTCTCTTTTATGAAACTTGTTATAAGGCATTATTGGAATTGATTTCCTCCTATTCAACTACACATTTCTACACATTTCATTTCCCTTTGCTCTCAACAAGATGCTAACTAGTATTATTTTATACTTGGTGGGCATATGCAAATCTTCAATCTTGAGGTATCTCCATCACTAATGTCCCTGTCAGCATGGAATCATGACAGTATTTCATTAACTGCTTTACTTGACATTAGAAGAGAGCACTGGAGGCACTGCAGAGGTTACCTTCAGTTTCAGACATATTTCTCCTTGTCTTCACAGGATAAGAATCATTCAATAAAATAAACCCATTATAGTCAGAACCAATCACTGAAAATAGTATCTGGGGTTTTTTGTTTGTTTGTTTGGTTGGTTGGTTGGTTGGTTTTTTGCTTGTTGATTCTGTGCTATAAAAGTCCAAAATTACCAAGTAGCTACCTCAAGTAGCTCAGGAACAAAGTTAAGAAATTCTGCCCCAGGATAATAGCTTCAGCTCCTATTTATGAGTTTTCAGCCTGCAAAAAGCCTACAAATTAAAGCATGTAAGCAATTTTTTAAAATTAAATCTGCCAATCCATCCATCCATCTTAATGGCTTTTTTTCCTCCTAATAACCATGACTAATACCAAGGCCACAACTTTCTTCAAAATTTCTGGGGAATGAAGGTGACTTGAACTTGAACTTGCAGCCTCCAGAACTGTGAGAAAATAAATTTATCTTGTTTAATTCATCTAGTCTGTGGAATTTTGTTATGGTAGCCCTAGCAAACAAATATACCTATTAACGCTTTTTAACAGTGTCCTTTACCAATGCACTTCTGAATTTCTTTGGAAAAGGAACTTTTTTCTGAGCCCTTTGAGAAGACATAAATAAGAAGAGGCTAAGTGGTGTGAAAGCTATATTACAATATTCTCAGCACCTTAACTAAATCTTTGCATTTCTTCTTCCACAGGTTATCTATGAAGTCAGCTTTATTTAATGTTTACGAACACTGAATGCAGGCTTTCATCAGTCAAGTAAAATGTTAAGGTTTATTTTCCCAAATCTGATTCCCTGAAGCAAGGTGGTTTCCAATAAATTTGCACAGAAAATAGCAGTACCAACAACAGCAATGGTCAGGCATTAAGAATATCAATTCAGAGAAAATATTAATCTAGCATTTAAGACCACTAACCTATGCTGTCATACACTTATAATTGTGAGGTTTGGCCCTGTATTAGTTGACTTGAGCTACTATGACAAAATACCATAAATTGGGTACCTTAAACGTCATAAATTTATCTTATCGTGGTATAAAAGCTAAAAGTTCAAGATCAGGATGACAACATGGTCAGTTTATAGTGACTGCTCTCTTCATGGATTGTAAATGGCTGCCTTCTCACTATGTCCTAGCAATAGCCCCTCCTCCATGTGTGCTATGGAGAACATGAGCTCTCTTCTTATAAACACATTAAACATATTACATCAGGGTGCCATCCCTACAACCTCATTTAAACCTAGTTGCTTCCTTAGACTCCTCATATCCAAACTGAAGGTTAGAGCTTCAACATAGTAATGTCTAAAGAACATGAATATTCAAAGGACACAAATAACAAATAATTTGTGTTTACAGGACACAAATAACAAACTCAATTTCTTAATAACACCAAGGAAAAGAGTTAGTTAACCCCTGTAACTGAAGTGCTGAAGTAGCACCATTAGGCTATTTGAAAATTGTTAGAGTAATTCCAATGTCCTACTCTTTCCCAATAACTCAATGTTCAAACATTGACCCCCCCAAAAAAACCTGATAAGGATATTAATTCAACTTATGTGGTAATTTAGCAACCCATAAGCTAATATTTCAGTTATACCAGAAGTATAACTCCAATGAATAAAAGATTTTCTTCAGGACTATAAACATATCACCCACAGTTATTTTTCTTCATCCCTGCAATAGTCTCCAGATAAACCCAACTGCCAAAGCCGTGCATTCCATAAGCACTTTATTCCTAGGAATGCCACAAGATAATTTAAGGAACTCTGCTCACATGCCACTGACTACTTGGATTCAATTTTCCAGCAGTACCAAATATATCAAAACCTTCAAATTCAACCAAGTCAAATAACTAATCCAAATTTCCATCAATCAGAGGTTAGTCCAAGAAACAGACTCAGTATTCTTAACAGACTAGAATTTTTCCCATATTTTTATTGATGCATGACAATTACACATAATGGTAGGATTCATTGTTACTTATTAATACATGCACACACTATTAGAATATAATTTGGCCAATATCCTTCCAGTATTTCCCCTTTCTCTCTTCTTCTTCCCACCCTTCTTCCCCCCACACCCCCACCAGTTTCTTTTCCTCTACTGGATTCCTTGAAAGGACTAGAAATCATTACAGAGAATCAAATGCTTACAAAGCTTTAATAAAAACTGGATTATCAGGAGATAGGGTGACATCACTAGAAATTTTAAAGTTAGGAACACGGTACAGAAGCTCCATCCAGGAAATGAGAAGTTGCTACCACTACTTCCACAACTCTCTCCTGACACCCACAGCGCTGGTAACTACACTCTGAAACACTGAGCCAGAACACAACAGCTGCCTCCTGACACTCTATGACCTCATTTGCCAACTGAATTGGCACAAAGAATATGCCCATTTCCTCATTTTGAAATTTCTCCTGAGCAAATTCTCCTATTGGGACATAATTTTCTTCCAGAACATGAGCTACAATAGATTCTTTGGAAATGTATTTCTTACTTACAGCCTGTATAACACAAGAAGGAACGTTAAAAAGTATAAACATAAGACTTAAATGTCCTTTGACCAAATCCAGCAAAAGTTCAAGTACTTAGTTCTAAGATTTCCTGAGGTCACCCAGGTCTCTTTAATATAGCAGAAGGCTTCCTGTCTTTATTTTAGTCTCAGTTCATCCAGAACTATCCTGATAGGAACAGCAGTCTTGGCAATGGGGGTATTTTATAAGAGAAGGGTTCAAAGGTGTTTAGTTTTTTTCTTCTTCTTTTTCCAAACGTTTTTCCAAGTTTATTTACAATAGTCCCTTTCAAAAGCGTAAACAACCCTTCATTAGTTCACAGAGTAGTTTTATTTTTTGCATATTGCTGGCAAATCCAGACTAGAGTACTAATTTATATTCCATATATTATAGGGGAAGAAAATTGGAAAGATGCTCTATTAGTTTACAAGTGCTGCCAAAGTACCACAAAATGAATGTCTTGGAATAAGAGAAATTTATTCTCTCACAGCATTGGAAGCTTGAAGTCTGAAATTAAGGATCCAGAAGTGCCATGCTAACCTCTGAAGTACATGGTAGAATTCTTCCTTGCCTTTTTCTAGCATCTGGCGGGGCCACCAGTCCTCAGCCTTATTTGGCTCAGAGTTTCCTCACTCCAGTGTTGCACTCCTGTGTATCTATGTCTCTCCTCTTCTCCTGAGGACACCTATTGTATTAAATTACAGCTACAAAATCACTATTTTCAAACAAGGTCACATTTATAGTTATAGGAGTTAGAACTTCAACATATTTGACTGGATACAATTCCACCCATAACAGAGGCAAAAAAAAGGGGGGGAGGGTCAATATCACACAAAGAATCAGAATAATCAGTAACAAAATCTTTCCCCAAAAATTTCAAGGAAAATGTAGGTGATATAAAGTTTTATCAATGTGCTTAAACAGGCAACTTTCACAAATGCTATTATATAAATAGAAAATGCAGATGTATAGGACATCAAAATTATAAACTGATATAGAGATATTATTCCTAAGGAGAAAAAGAAATCCTCATCTAGACCCTATTACCCTTTTCACAGTATTAATTTTATCCACAGTAAATATAAAAATTCCTCTAAAAATGAAGCTTAATTGTCTGAATACAGACATCCAAAAGGATAAGATGTTCATTATTCTTTTTTGTATAAATCTATTTAATATCTCAGATTCTAAATGTAATGTCCATTTTTCACTTACTAACAAAGAAAGTCCAGGATTCATTCATTCTCAACAAATATTTACTGAGCACCTGTACTCCTTGATAAATGTTTGAGATTCAGCAAATTTAAATAGATCCTAATCTTGTAAGGGTTCTGTGTTTGGGATTGGGGTTTCTGATGGCTCGATAACTGTGGCATGCTTGGTGGCTAGGAAGTTTCTGTGCAAAGGCACTGAATGCCTGGTTGCTAGGAAAACATGGGATGCTAGGAAAACATGGGATGCATAGCTGCTCTAGCAATGCCCTGCATGAGGAGAGTCTGTGCTAGAGTCATATCAGCCTCAACTTTGATCTCAGGCACATAGCCTCAACTTTGATCTCAGGCACACAGCTCCTTTTATTTTCAAATAAAAAGAAACTCTCTTGTTAAACAACCAAAATATTTCAACAAGCTCTGCTGGGTCTGAATCTGACCCAATAACAGTAATTTTAAACAATAGACTTTCTTGAGAGCTACACAAAGCTCCTAACATTGCACATTGCAGCTATAGTGTGCAACTGAAGAACAAGCTGCATAATGTTGCTAACTCTATAACCTGCCTAATGACCCAATGAACAATAATGTACTACTGATGCCAGTGACCTAATGTAACCTATTGATATAAATAAAGCTGGCAGCATGGATATGGGGTTTCTGCCATTTTGCCACTGCACCTAGCCTGTCTTCTTTGTCTTTCTTTACACAATCTCTGATCCCAAGACACTTTTGGACAGTGTAGTAGGAAGACTGAGTCCATACAGAGCCAGCCCTGCAAGTGCTAAACAGATATTAAATAGCAGAGCATTGTGGTATCAAGATGATAGCTAAAAATAAATAAAACGTGGAGAAAGGAAAAATCTTTCTACCCAGAGGAAGAAATTTTGAACGGTATCATAAGGAAAATAAAAGATTTAGGAAAGGTGTTTTAGGCAAAGAATCCGCCTATGTAGATACTAAGCTGTGAGAGACAACACAGTCTGGGAACTGCAAGATGTTCCCTGTGACTGGATTCAAATGAGTGTTGGGTCTGATGGCATACTCCTATATCCCAGCTACTTGGGAGGATGAAGTAGTAGGGTTGTAAATTTTAGGTCCGCCTTTGCAACTCAGCAAAACCCTGTCTTCCAAATAAAAAGGGCTGGGGGTGTAGCTCAGTGGTAGATATCTTGCCTAAGTATGTACAAGACCCTGAGTTAAAGCCCCAGCCAAAAGGGACAGGAAGCAAGTGTAATTAAAGCAAAGACAAAATTATGAAAAGCTTCTATGACAAGGGCAATGAAGAATATAGCACTTACTAATATCTGTTCCCTTCTTGAAAGTAAAGGAGGTAAAATATGACTAGGTATGGCCTGGCTAAAGGTGATATATATAATCACTTCTTATACTAAACATAGGAAAGCAGTTGTGTCATGTTCATGTGCTCTTTACCCTTGCTATGGCAACCAGCAACACCCAGATGATAGGTCCTCTGCGAGCCTAGACCTGGAATGACTGTGTAAGGCAAAATAGCCATCCTAAATTCCCAAACCACACAATACATAGAGGATGAGTAAGGCTTAAGCCTTTGTTTTGTCAAATAACTGAGATTTTGAGTTAATTTGCTAAAGCAGCATAACCCAATATCAAGCTGATAGTATAGAGTAATATTGCTGTAAAATTTAATCAAGACAATTGTTTCAAAGACTTATATTTTAGAAAAATCACCTTGTCTACATGCTAGGATATAGGTCAGCAGAACTAAAGGTGGATACAGAAACACAAATGCAAACTATAACTCAGAGTGAATTGGTACAGTCTCCCTCCTTAGTCAAATTTACCTCTTCTCAATTAAACCTCAGAAAACCAAGCATTGGGCAATTCTGGGTCATGGGCACAGTTCTCCTCCAGAATCACTGCATGTAGTGATTCTGTGAGTATACATTATTATACTCTTGCAAAGAACCTAAGACCAAATAATAAAAGGATCTGGACCTCCAGTTGGGATAAGAAACTGCTGCTCGCAGAGAAAAATCTTACCCTATATTACTCTGAAAATACCTTCTTTTATGCAATGTTTATTCTGAGCATGTAGTGTTCTGAAATTCAGAACAAAAGAATCAGAAAGAAAAAAACCCTCAGGTACCATGCACTTTCCACCTAGCCATAAGTAGACCAAAAATCCAGCCCAGATTTCCCTGAGCATCACATGAAACATAAAGAAGATACTGAGATAGAGGTACTAAAGAAACCAACATAAAATCATTAAATGTTTGAGTGTTTAGTACCAAGAAATAATATTGCAACAGGGTGACAGCCTATATAGTTACTAAACCAGTTGGAAATAGAACAAACTTGGAGATAAACCTAATCTATAATTTAGACTCTTCTATGTGATTTAGCCATTAAGTCTTCTTGGCTAATTTGATAGTGAGTATTTTAGTAACATTGGGCAAACCACCACCTTCAATATCTCCATTTACCTTCACTAGGCTAATAGTAAGATTATTTTTCCCCTCAGAGAGATCACATGAGAGGCTGTAGCAGAAGCATTTATTGAACATTTTGGATCTCTTTCATATGCAGAGCCTGAAGTTCAAAGCAGTTCCATATATGCCCAAACAGGGACCCATAAATGTATTTGGTCTATATCAAGGGAGGACTGTACCATGTGTTACTGTTGAGAAATGAAGGACTTGTATTAAAAATGCATAATTTAATCAAGGAAAAAAACACTAATCAGTAGGAAATATGCAATCTTGATGTTATGGGATTTTTTTAATGTTCATGTTATTAGAGCTGCCACTGTTTCTCATGAGTCTATCAAAATGAAAATTAATATAAAGGGGACGTTTTGAAAGATAAAATGAGCTCACACATGAGGTCCTCAGAAGTGTCCAGCATTCCTCTAAGGCAAAAGCAGAATGACAGCATCCAGGGCTGTCATTGTTCCCTTCCATCCCTGTTCAAAAGTAGAAATTTTCAAGAAAAACTTCACACTCCTTTGATGTTCAGTAAACTATGTGGTCATTCCATTGAACCAGGGCTCAAACAGTGGCAGAATATATAGGCCATTCATAATACTGCTTTCGTGTTCATATGCTTTCCAACTTACTTGTGGAGTTGGCAAAATTGCTGAAAAAGAAGTGATCTTCCCATGGGTCAATAATTAGGTACAATCTCCCAGACCAGACCTTTTGCTATCCAGTAGAGACTCCTATTTAAATCCAGCTCAGTCATGACTGCATGCATGTGCCTATTTCAATAGCACTTGATTGGCAGGAGAATTATTTGTGGGGTTAAGTCTAGAGTAGGGCTGGGGATGTGGCTCAAGCGGTAGCGCGCTTGCCTGGCATGCATGCGGCCCGGGTTCGATCCTCAGAACCACATACCAACAAAGATGTTGTGTCTGCCGAGAACTAAAAAATAAATATTAAAAATTCTCTCTTAAAAAAAAAAAAAAAGTCTAGAGTAAGTGGTGTGTGTGTGTGTGTGTGTGTGTGTGTGTGTGTGTAACTGTTTCTGTGTTTTGCTGAGGAAGAATGAAGAAAGGTGGGGAATGGAGGAATAAAATGGTGTTCAGTTTATCATGATTTGTGTTTAAGCTTTATAAAGATAGAGGCTGGCTCTCTGCTCTTCCTCATTCAAAAGCCAGCCACATATTCTTGTGCAGTGCCAGCCATGTTGCTAACACATGATGGTAAAGGACAAAATAGAAAAACTCTGCCACATTGGCGTACCTAGTCACCAGGGCTGCTTTTAACTCTTACAAAGTGAATATTATTGATATCAATGACCGTTTAATTAACCTCAACTACATGATCTACATTTTTCAAAGTAGTAATATAGTTCTACTCATGGTAAATTTCAGTGGCACATTCAAGGATGAGAACAGGAAGTTTGTTATCAATGAAAGCCCATCTCCATCTGCAAGGAGCAAGACTCCAGCAACATCAAATAGAGCCATGTTGGTACCAAGTATGTTTTGGAGTCCTGCTGTGTCTTCACTACCATGGAGAAGGCCAGGGCTCACTTTAAGGCTGTGAGTCACATCTCTACACCATCTGATGCCCCCATGTTTGTGATGGGCATGGACCATTAGAGATATGGCAACTCCCTGAAGAACATCAGTAAAGCCTATTGCACCACCAGCTATTTACCCCCTGGCCAAGGTTGTCCCTGACAATGCTGGCATCATGGGGGGGATTCATGACCACAGTCCATGCCATTATTGCCACCCAGAAGACCATGAAAGTCCCCTTAGGAGAAACTATGATGTGATGGCCATGAGGCTGCCCAGAACATCATTCCTACATTCACTAGCACTGTGAAAGCCATTGTCAAGGTCATCCCTGAGCTGAATGGAAAGCTCACTGGCATTTGATATCTCATGAATAATTTTTATAATATTGATTTCAATTTCAAAAGATATTTTGAATAAATTAAAATATAACTTTACCTGCATCCTTTTGACATTGATTATTAGAAATCTCAAAAGTA